TTTTAAATTGAAGATCAAATTCAGTCATTGTATTCATATATGGTCAAGGAGTGTAGTTGTAAAAAAATAATCAAAATCGGAGTTAAAATAACCGTTAAATCGTGATTTTTCATTTATAACCGTCGAAAAGTTTTGTCCCGTTACTTGATCTTTAAATGTTTTTTATTTTTTATTTTTCGCGTATATGATCTTGAAGTATAAACAAACAAGTTTGATGGTTGGATCATTGAAACTAGTTTCGTAGAATGCGTATGTCATCAAAACAATATATTCACGAACAATTAAGAGTTTATTTATACTTGGGATATTTGTTGAAATGTCACCTGAACTTATACCTTAGTTTCAATTTGTCACCTGAAAAAAAAAAAAATTTAAGAGAAATGTCACCTGAATTTTTCAAAATTTATAATTTGTCATCTGACTTTAACACCATCCATAAGTAAGGGTATTTTAGTCTTTTCATTTTTAGGATAATTTAAAAATAAAAAAATTATTATACAACCCTTTCCTATCAAACATTAAAAAATTAAAAAGTGCATTTTTTTTCCATCCCCTGTCATCTCTCTATTCTCCCTCCCTCCCTTCCCCAATCACCTCCCGTCTCCTTTGTTTCTTTTCTCCCCCAAGACCTGAGCATGGAAGGGATGGGCTGCTCATGTAGTCGTAAATTACGTGACATGACTATGCACTTGAAGTTAGATCATGTCAACTCTCTCTCTCTCTCTCTCTCTCTCTCTCTCTCTCCAGAGATTTCCAAGACAAGAGTACTTCATTCAAACTAAATTAGAAAAACCCCCCAAGATAACCTGGAACTAATCATAATGGCATCAATCAAATTCATGGTACAGACTACGGTGGCAGAAGGAATTAAAGAGGGACAAGGTCAATATAAAGTTTGTCATTCGAAATCATCAATTCAAACACACCACAACCTGATCTCATATATCAGTAAATTAAAGAGCACACTCAAGCTCTCTTCATGGCTCTACTTCTCTATTTCTTCTTCTATCTCTCGTGGCCATTTTCTCCCCGTATCTCGGAAAAATATCCGCCAAATCAACCAACCCGACCTCCCTCAGTTTTTTCCCCACCACCTCAAACATCCCCACCCCTTCCTCATTTGAGTAGTAATGCAAAAACTTATTATAATCAAATCTAGGAACCTCAAGTCCTCTTTTGATTACTCTCTCTACATACTTGGTGGCTTCTAGTGACTTCCCTGCCTTAACCAGACCACCAACAAAAATGGTATCAAAATTCACAAGAGGATCCGATCCCTTCCTTCCTCTCTTTCCCAAATGTCCTTGCAATAACATGATATAAGTGTGCATGTTAGGCTCACACCCCTTTTTAATCATCTCCCTAAACACTTCTGTTGCTTCACGCAATTTTCTTAACCTTAAAAGGCCCTTGATCATCCCATGGAACACGTTAATATCCGGTTTTTCAATCCCTTCCACAATCTTATATGCCACTCTAACTCTACCTCTTGCTAAAAGGCCGTAAACCAGTGAAGCCAATGCGGAATTATCTGCTTCGATCCTTCTCTTTTGCATTTCCTCGAACACCACATGAGCTTCCTCAATCTTCCCCCTTTTACACATCCACTCAATCACAAGCCTATAAGTTGAAAGACCCAAATCATCCATCCTATTCACCCTCATCATCTGAAAAACCTTCAATGCCTCACCGTATCGATTCGTCTTGAAAAGGGTCTCCATCATTTTATCAATGGCACCAATATCCGGGTCAAACCCTTGATCCACCATCAAATTCCAAATCTTTGAAGCCACATCACAAAACCCTTCAATCAAACAGCTGTACGTAACCCCATTAGGCCCAATCGACTCCTTCAACTTAAAAACTATGAACTTGGCCTCAACAACAAGCTGACAATATTCATAAGCAGGCATTCCACTAATCAACCACCTTACTCAAGATCATTCTTGATATTAAATTCGTGAAGATGTTGAATTTATTGTAGAATAATATTTCATTATCTTATTCACAAGATTGTAGAAGATATTAATAAGTGATTATGCACAAGATGTTTTTGGGCAGTTTATGGATAGGTTGTGTGCCACGTAACTCTGTGACGTGCCAAGGTTGACAATTTGTTAATAATTTATAATGAAATAATAAATTGAAAAAGAAAAAGACAAAAAAGCTATGCATGCCACTGTTTCTGTTGCGCCAAATTCTTCTAGAAACATTTAGCAGCCAGAGAACGGATCCACCAAAAAAGAAGAAATATCTTTGGCCGTCCACGTGGGTGTATCCGGAGGTTTTTGTAGGGTTGACTTTGTATTTTTTTGGGGTCGAAAGGGTTGCCTTTGTAGGGAGGGTCTAGTAAAAAGAAAGATAGCTCATTTAGAAAACGAAAAGAAATATATTTGGCCGTCCACGTGGGTACATCCTGTGGAATGTGTGGTATCCGAGGCTTTTTGTAGGGTGGACTGTTCATTCTGTAAAAGGAAAGGAGGAAAAAAGAAGCAGCAGCTTTTCCGGCGGCAGCTTATTTGGAAGCACGATCTGGTGACGGCTTGCTTGACTCTTGCTTTGCTGATGTTAAAAATAGAATATTAACAGGTGACGGCTTGCTTAACTCTTGCTTTGCTGATGTTAAAAATGACGGCTTGCTTAACTCTTGCTTTGCTGATGTTAAAAATAGAATATTAACATTTGTGCTCTGCTTTTGCTTACTTTCATTAATGTATGTTAAATCTTTCTAGATAGAATATTATTATTTTATTTTTATTTATGCATTATGAATTTACGATCAGGCTTTGTTTTGTTCTTTATCTACCTAAATCTAGCTAATAATATAATATTCCTGTATTTATGCATTTAAATCAGTGAGGAAGAGAAGATAAGATGCTGCATTTAATTTAATGTATATAAATAATAATAATAATCGCATAAAAAAATATAGAAATAATAAATATTCTTTCTTCTTTCTTGGGCTTTCTTTGATGATATTAAAAAGCCGACAGAAAGAAAGTCAGGAGAATAGATACAAAGAAACCTTTGCCAATTGCCAGCTCGATTTTAGGCTGAGGCCACTGAGGGCATTTTATTGTTTTGAAGATTAGTGACAAATGGTAAATAAATCACATAACCAAACCCCCTAAGTAAAGTAAGTAGGTGGATATGAAGCTGCTGCCAACAGAAACACAATTTGTCTGTGCCAGTACCCTACTAGTTGCCAAAAGTACCTCTCTCAATCCCATACCAAAATTACCTAAGTCAAGTCAATATCATGGCAAAGAACCTTTGTAGATCCTTGAGAGATATCAGCAACTTTGTAGTTACTTAATAATGAGTTGCTTTGTTTTACAGGAGGTAACTAAGATATTGAATGCTGTTATTTACCTGGCTTTTCTTCACCAATATTTGTTGCATTTGGTTGGTAGCAAACCAGATATCCCATCTCCCACAGAGTTTGTTCTAATACTATTAACAGTCAATAAGGTACAATAATTACAAACAGAGTTTACACAAAAGTAATAGTAATAGATAGAGGAGATCCAATGGCTACCGCTAAAGCTAATCCTAGTCATAAAACCAACTATAACACTAGCAATGTGACCTGAAAATCCTAATCTCTGGTCACTTGTTCTATTTAGTTTTTATTCTAGTTACCTATTAATTGAGTGCTGTTATCTAGTTTTGATTCCAGTAACTTGTTCTATTTACTTTTGATTTTAGAGGAGGTAAGATATTGAATGTTGTTATTTACCTGGCTTTTGTTCACCAATATTTGTTGTATTTGGTAGCAAAGGAGATCTCCCATCTCCCACAGAGTTATTTACCCTACTTCTGTTTTCCAGCATCTCCATTTCACTTTATTTATTGGTGTTCCTCTTTCAGGAAATTATCAGAATTCTGCTTATCATGCCGGGCCAAGACAGGATTAGTCAATTGCCCAATGGCCTTCGTTCTCATATCCTTTCCTTCCTGCCAATCGAGGATGCGGTAGCTACTAGCATCCTTTCCAGAGAATGGCACAACATATGGATCCTAGTCTCTGTCATTAACGTATATGACGACTCAATACCAGTCGACGAAGATCGATTCTATGCCATTGTCAACTCAATTCTGCGCCACCCGATGGCTGCGCTTTCTCCACTTCACAAGTTCATCCTCAAGTGCGACGAATGGACCAGTCATGCTGCAATCAACAATCTGATTTGGGCCGCTCTTGACCGCCAAGTGAAGGAGCTGGACCTTTGCATTGCTCAACATGCCATAGAGGGTAAATTCCCACTGCCTGTGGAAGTATATAGAAACCAGCACCTCAAGGTTTTGAAATTGAGCGGAGTGAGGGTTCACGATGATGAGCCACCAGGTTCTTTCCCACCAGGTTCTTTCCCGTCTTTGAAGAATCTGCAAGTGGACATCTCGATCGGCTGTGACGAATCCTTGCGAAAATTCTACCACCACTGTCCTGTTCTTGAGGAGTTGAGAATGGAAGGAGAATTGGATACATTTCCTGAAGCAAATTGTCAGTTTGATGTCAGTTCAGAAAGTCTCAAAGCCCTCTACATCAAGCTGCAGTCTAATTATGATGTTCAGGATGATGACGACGAAGCAGAGATATATACCTTTAAAATTACAGCAAACAATTTGGAGAGCCTATTCAATGACGAAGACGTATTGGCAGATTACGAAATGGAAGAAATGATATCCCTAGTTGAAGGCAATATTCAAATTGGGTGGGAAGATTACCAGTACGGCATGGGTGGTAGAGAATTCTTTGATAAAGCTTTCAAGATAATGAGGGGATTGACCCATGCTAGGACCCTAACCCTGGGTGAGAGGACCACTGGGGTAAGACTGATTTCATTTTGGTATAACTATTTGGGATTTAAGAAAAAGGTTCTCATCACTTACTTTTTCTTTTCTTTTCTTTTTCACGAAGGCACTTGGATATGCTGTGCATTTGAATTATGTACTTGATCGTGAGGAAGATGATGATGAAGATGAGTTAATGTGGGATGAAGATGTGCACACTTGGGATGAGGACAAGGTTTGGGAACTCTGTAGGGAGAAAATCCCGGAGTTCCATCATTTGAAAATCTTGAATCTTTCAATGGGAAATCGTTATGGATGGAATCTTCTGCCATACTTACTAGGGTTCTTTCCTAGGTTGGAGACGCTCCGTTTAGAAATGGTGAGTATATCAATTTGTTCTTCACAACATATTCTAAATCTTTATTTTTCTTTTCTGTAATTTATTGGATTGGCAGGTTCATGTATACCGTGTGGATCCAAACAATAGATTTGCGTGGAATCCACCCCTAGAGAAACCAAGATGTTTGATGGAGACCATCATTAGGGTCGAGGTAAAGGGATTTCGCAATGAGGACGGAGAGGGGTGGCCATTGATAAACTATCTGCAGGAAATTTCTACTCACATTCGAGAGTTCCAAATCATAGTAGAATGACTTACCACCAAAGGATGGGGTCGGCAGAAAGAGAGAGGCCAAGGCAACCCAGCTTCCATCTTCCATCTTCCATTTTTCCATCTTTCTATCTTCCATCTTTCATCTTCAATCTTCCATCTTCCATCTTCCATCTTCCATCTTCCATCTTCCATCTTCCATCTTCCATCTTCCATCTTTAGGGTTTATGGGTACAGAGTTCGCCTCCTCAATCCTCAATAGATAGACAGAGACTCAGATGAGATCTATTCTGGAGTTTCGGGGTGTTTGGTTTGACTCGGGTTTCGTTGGCTTCAGAGTCTCAGATCAGATAGATGCTTAGAGTTTTGTCCTGTTGTGTCGTTCTTTTAATGTAATTTTGTTTTGTTTTCCCTATTTTGTTATTTACTTTGGTGACACTAATCCCTTTGCTATTTATTTATGTTTTTCCCTACTTTGAAATTGCATGAGTCAACTAATAGGATTTTGTTTTAAGTATTTTTTTTTATTGAGGCCCAATGGAATGGAACTGTTAAATGGCTGCCTGATGTGGCCCATTTAAAGTTACAAATCTCTCTCTCTCTCTCTCTCTCTCTCTCTCTCTCTCTCTCTCGATTTTAGGCATGCAATAGGATTGAGTAGCTAAAACCCACGGCATTTTTTGAAGATTAGTGACAAATGCAAAATACATCACATAACCAACCCCAAGTAGGTGGTGGATATGATTCAGTTTGTATTATATAATCCATCAAGCTGCTGCTATCAGAAGGAATCACAATTTGTACCTAAACACTCAATAATCTAAATCTTCTCCTTCAAAAAAGAAAAACAAAACAACAAAGCCAAGCATAACAACAACGAATTCTTTACTACTTGGTCCGCAAGACAAACTAGTTACCACATGACTTTGCAGAATATATAATCAAGACAGTTCTCAGCATACATTCAATAAACCACCAGAGAATAGCGCCAAAGAGAAGTCCCATCTCTGGTTGATCAGCTGAAGCTTTAAGAAACCTTTTCTGGTGTCTTTGTACTTTGTACTCAGGAGCCGAGTAATCTGCATACTGAAACTGGAAAAGGAAACACTTTCACGTCACTCACTTCTGTTCTGTAGCTCTTTTTTTTACACTGGGAAGAAACAATGTACAACCTTGATAGGTGAAGAACACAAAAATGAGGGGCAGAAACTCTTGGATTTTCCTCAGGGCAGCAGGTGGAAGCACTGAAAAGGATGAAGTTTAATTGCTTTAAATCAGACCCGCACCATTCAATTTAACCACAAGCACCAAGGAAATTACTTTAAGAAAATCATTCTAAAAAGGTCAAAGTATTGACTGAACCCAAATTCAGGAAGAAGGGCAATGCAAAAACATTTACTTACCTGAAATTAGCAGGAGAAAAGATTCCAATACAATCATCAACTGATAGGTTTTGCAGAACCAAATTCCAACGTCACCCATTCTGCAGTGAAAGAAACCCACCAGTCAGCCCAATAAGTTATGCCTTCACTCACAGTTGAACAATAAGAGGCAATCAAAATCAGACTTCCCTTTCAATTAGGAGTGCCAAATATAGAGATGGGACAAAATCATCGAGGTGGCTTACCCTTAATCCTACAACTGTAGGTGAGGCTTGAATATAAGCAAGGTCATGAAGAGCAAAGGTTGCCTTCCTTATGAATACAAATTCTTGAAAGAGGCTGCTCCCCGTGCGAACTTGCCTTTTTCAAGGCTTGCAAAAACCAGAAGAATTGCCAACCTCAGTTTTATTTCTTTCATCACACACAGCATCATAATTCAATCAAGAATCTCAGAAGAAGAAACTGAATTAAGAACAAGAGAGGAAAGCCAGCTGAAGATGATGGGTTTGTGAGTTCCAACGATAGCAACAACTATGGAATCTAAAGAAGATTCGACCGTGCTCCCATTTTCCACAACCAGTGCTCTGCCTTTGCAGTTTTAACATTTTCAGCAAATGTTGTCGCTGATAAGGTGGATGCCAGGATTAACTCCTTTTTTATGTGCTCTGAACAACATCATATGGCTAGGCATTCCAAATCCCCTGTTTTGATTGGGTTTTTCCCATTACAAAAAAAAGTAATTAGAAACATTATTTTGAAAGGATTTTTGTTTCTTTGGCGCATCTTTTGAAAGGAAAATGAATATTGCGCTGAAAGGGATAATAAATCATTTGTCATGTAAGGAGCCAAGCATGGTTATGTACACAACATCCAATGAACCTCTACATTCCCAGCACCCAAAGTAGTTCCAATGAAACAGAACACGATGATAAACTCAAAGCCATGCCAAATGATAATAAAAAGACAGTTAAATTTGAAGTTTTCAAAATGTCTTGGTTGCAAACTCATTGGTCATGGAATAAGTTTACAAAACATGTCAAGGAGTATATTTATGCCTCAGTAATTAGCACACTAATGCAATTTACATGGCACAGCTATACAATGCATAAAACTTGTGGTTTACCTGGAAAATGGGACACGTCCTTTCATAACTGTGCACATAACCATATACTGCAATATCAACCTTGTACGTCTGCCATAGTTTCTGAAGGCTCTCCCTCCCCATTGGCTCCTCAAATGAACCTTCAGCCACATAAAAGCTCGCAGAAGAATAACCGAGTACCTGATGTGCCAGAAATATCAGCCATGGTTGTTTTTGTCTATCAACTGATGCTAGGCAGTTCTTAATGATTTATATATTGTCCCCTCTCTCTCTCTCTCTCTCTCTCTCTCTCTCTCTCTCTCTCTCTCTCTCTCCCCCCATCCAGAGATTTCAAAGACAAGAGTACTTCATTCAAACTAAATTAGAAAAACCCAAGATAACCTGGAACAAATCATAATGGCATCAATCAATTTCATGGTACAGACTACGATGGCCGAAGGAATTAAAGAGGGACAAGGTCAATATAAAGTATGTCATTCGAAATCAAAATCATCAATTCAAACACACCACAACCTGATCTCATATATCAGTAAATTAAAGAGCACATTCAAGCTCTCTTCATGGCTCTACGTCTCTATTTCTTCTTCTATCTCTCGTGGCCATTTTCTCCCCGTATCTCGGAAAAATATCCGCCAAATCAACCAACCTGACCTCCCTCAGTTTTTTCCCCACCCCTTCCTCATTTGAGTAGTAATGCAAAAACTCATTATATTCAAATCTAGGAACCTCAAGTCCTCTTTTGATCACTCTCTCTACATACTTGGTGGCTTCTAGTGACTTCCCTGCCTTAACCAGACCACCAACAAAAATGGTATCAAAATTCACAAGAGGATCCGATCCCTTCCTTCCTCTCTTTCCCAAATGTCCTTGCAATAACATGATATAAGTGTGCATGTTAGGCTCACACCCCTTTTTAATCATCTCCCTAAACACTTCTGTTGCTTCACGCAATTTTCTTAACCTTAAAAGGCCCTTGATCATCCCATGGAACACGTTAATATCCGGTTTTTCAATCCCTTCCACAATCTTATATGCCACTCTAACTCTACCTCTTGCTAAAAGGCCGTAAGCCAGTGAAGCCAATCTGGAATTATCTGCTTCGATCCTTCTCTTTTGCATTTCCTCGAACACCACATGAGCTTCCTCAATCTTCCCCCTTTTACACATCCACTCAATCACAAGCCTATAAGTTGAAAGACCCAAATCATCCATCCTATTCACCCTCATCATCTGAAAAACCTTCAATGCCTCACCGTATCGATTCGTCTTGAAAAGGGGCTCCATCATTTTCTCAATGGCACCAATATCCGGGTCAAACCCTTGATCCACCATCAAATTCCAAATCTTTGAAGCCTCAATCAAATCACCCACATCACAAAACCCTTCAATCAAACACCTGTACGTAACCCCATTAGGCCCAATCGACTCCTTCAACTTAAAAACTATGAACTTGGCCTCAGCAACAAGCTTAGACCCACAAAGACTCTCAACCACCTTATTCAAAGTCTCCAAACTATAATCAAACCCATACCCATTCATGACATGAAAAAATTCAACACACTTGTTCAACTCCTTGGCCTTGGCCAAGGTCTTTAAAGCAATAAGAAAAGTCTTATCATTCACCAAACGGCGTCGTCCCATTTCATGGAGCATGTCCCAGAGGAGCTGGATGTTCCTGGCCTTGCCGATGACGTCAACCATTTTGTTGAACGAGACGGTGATTTGAATGAAATTGGGGTGGGTTTGGGTGTAGAGGAAGAAGAGATAGACGGGCCGCCATGAAAGAGGGAAACTGTTGCAGACCTGGAGGAAGAACTCATGGGTGAGTTGGAAGTTGGACGAGTTGAGGTTTGAGTGGAGGCGTGACTCGGGTGAGTTCTGCTGCGGGTAGAGGATGGTGCAGACTCGGAGGAGGTGGGCTGGGTTCACTGGGGATGAGGATGGGGATGGGGTGGCGAGTTGCGTCTGAGTTGACTCGGTTGTTATGAAACGGAAGAGGTTTATGAGGGGTTTTGTGAGGCTGCTGCTTCTTTGTCTGATCATCTCTGCGATTTTGGCTCTATTTTCGACCAGGTTTTGCCGCGTCTGACTACATCACTTTTTGACAACAAAAAAAAACTGTATGACTTGGAACCTGACTCGGTCGGCCCAACTCAGTAGAGTTGCTGCTGATTGTCAACTAGTTGGGTTGGGTCAATCTGCAGCCTTGCCTTTGTGGGCTACAAACCAACGACTGAATGAGCCTCTGATGACTTGGGCCATGGTTTTTGGCAGCAGGCCCATGAGTTGACTACTTTTTAAATAAAATTATAAATAAAAGCTTTTGTATTAAACCATAACATACTCGTACTGCAAAAGAAATTCTTTGGTGCGTCTATAGCACCGCTACGTGCTGTTAACAATTTAAATTTTATAATATAAATGACATAATTAATGTGTCATGAACTTTAAATATCTTGCGTTTGTTGAGGTTCAAAAAATTCACGGTTAGGCCCAATTGAAATTCCAGCCCAAAACGACGCATTATTAAGAAATGACCCAATTTGGAGCACACAAAAATCCGTCATGCACAAGTCATACTCCATGCGTCATGCCAAATAAATAATCCGTCATGCTAGGAATCGAGATTAAGATTATAAAATGCATTAACTCTACAAATCCATGCTAATTATCCTGTCAAGCATCATAATTAAAAGCATGTCAAGCGACATGCCATGCCAAGCAGGAAATCATTATTGCACACTCAACCACGTTACAAGCCTAAGTAGGCCCAAACCACTCGAATGCGCAGGGCTTGCTTGAGTGGGTTGTGGTATGTATAGTAATAAGTTATCATGAGGCCCATTGATGAGCTGAGAAATGGAGGTTCCGGGTTGCTTGGGAGCCTCGGAACTCAATTCCATTTCTTAGATCCAAACATGTGGGTGAGCACAAAGAAGAAAATAGTTCATTACCTTAGCCAAAATAGCCCATTAGCTTAACCAAAATTAGCCATAGCACCTCAACAAAATAGGCCAACACTTGGTGAGGTTGGCCCATTTATTTGATAAACCAACCCATTATCCTAGAAGGTACATACAATTAAAATAAGAAGCAGCAAAATCCCCAGCACTTGGCTGGAGAACAAAGCCACGAAGGGAGCTTGGGAGTCCGCATGCGCAGAGTTGCTGGAAAGCTCCAGCACATGGGAAGGAACAAGTTTCAAGCAAAAACATCCAAATGACCAGGGGTTTTAGCGCGCAGGCTGCCAGGAAGAGGAGCACCCTTCGAATCAGCATGTATACCTATTTCTTTCCTTTATCAGATATGGCCATGAAAAAAGGGAGGAAAGAAAGAAAAGGGGATGGCTGAGAATAGGAGTTTTCCATTAAAGTGGCTGCGGGAAGAACATTGAGCACCCAAAAATCCTTGATATTGAGCACCCAAAAATCCTTGATTTTGTGCAAATGGGCAGAGTAGATTTCACCAAAATAGTATGATTGAAGGGATTATGGGAGAAAGGGAGGGAAAGACTTGGCCAAATTGGATAGAAACCATTAGGGTTTCTTGGGAAGGAGGAGCTTCCAGCGGCTATAAATGAAGCACCTCCTACCCAACAACCAACAACCACATCCAGAGAGCAAGCTTCCTCTCTTACCTCTAAAGCCTAGCAATTTCATGCTCAATTCATCCTTCTCCTCCTTGTTTTTCCTCTTGGCAGATCATTCTGATGTTTGACAGAACCTCTGTCGAGTTGCCAGAAAAATACTTAAGACACCCATTGCCTAGCCTCTCTCCTCTTCTCAGCCAACACCTTTGATAATCCTTTCCTTCTTTTCCTTAGAACCCTTGTTTTTCATAGAAACTCACAGCTCTTTGCCTTTGAAGCTAAACTCATGACAACTTTGCTCTCATGCCACAAGCTTCTCATGCCAAGCTAAGATTATACCTGTAAGCACTAAGAATTTTTTTGTAAGCAGCCATTGTTTTTGTTGGTGAATGTGACCAGGGTGTTTCCTAAGGCATGTCTGTCCTTTCGAAATATTTTGGGGCTTGATCTTTGAACTCAAACACAAGGGGGGAATTTCATCCATTTTGCTCTTTACGGCAGCCCATCCCATTTGTAGCTGCCGGAAGAAAAAAAGCCCCTACAACGTTATTTAGACTAGCCTCTGCACGTGCTTCTTCGTCTGTGAAAGGTTTTTTTAAAAAAACTTTTAAAATTTATTTTAGAATTAAAAAAGATAATGGATAGTTGTGTTCATAAAAATATGATTCATTATTTGATTTTTCTTTTAATTTTAATTTTTTAAATATGAAATTTTGAAAAATTTGAATTATAGCCAAATTAATTTGTTGGATGCCACTGCCAATCATGAATTGCTTATCTTTATGGATACCTACTCAGGCTACAACCAGATATTCATGAACCCAGCGGATAGTGAGCATACGACGTTTATAACATATAAAGGCCTATATTGTTACAACGTTATGCCGTTCGTCCTAAAAAACGCAGGAGCTACATATCAACGACTGGTCAACAGAATCTTCGCCAAGCACATCGGCAACACCATGGAAGTTATGTTGACGACATGTTGGTGAAAAGTCAAACTGCCTATCAACACCTCCAGAACTTATCCCTCATGTTTGACATCTTAGAAAAATACCGAATGAGACTAAACCCGATGAAATGGGCCTTTGGTGTATCCTCTGGAAAATTCCTCAGCTTTATGATCAGCCAATGAGGAATCGAAGCAAACCCTGAAAAAATCAAAGCTCTTATAGATATGGAAAGGTCAAAGACACAAAAACACATTCAAAGCCTTACAAGGCGCGCCGCGGCCTTAACATGCCTTATTTCAAAAGCTACTGATAGGTGTGCACCGTTTCTCATAGCCTTGAAAAGAATTAAACAACACATCACTTGCACAAGCAAATGTGATCTCACTTTTCAAGAACTGAAGGACTATATGAGCAAGGCACCGTTGTTGTCAAAACCTCTCCCTGGGGAATTGCTCTTCCTTACACACTCCCGTAAGCTCCGTATTGATATAGAACCCTGAGACTATAGAACTACTAATCTTTTGTGTCATCCAAGCGCTCCAGGATGCTGAGCTTCGATACCCTCCTCTCGAACTGCTGGCTTTCACCCTTATTATCTCAGTGCGTAAGCTCCACCCCTATTTCCAGGCTCATATTGTGATTGTGCTAACAAATCAACCACTACGGCAAGTCTTCCAAAAGCCTAAGATATCTGGCTGATTAATCAAGTGGGCGATTGAGTTGGGAGAGTTCGACGTCCAATTCTGACCTAGACCCGCAGAAAAAGGCCAGGTCGTTGCGGATTTCATATATGAATTAACATCTTCAGCATCACCTGAAGATTTGAACGCCATAGCGTAATAAGCTAGACACACCTTACCGAACAACAAAACTTCGACCCTACAGTCTTAATTTGGATCTTGCATGTTGACGGTTCGGCCAATCAACAAGGATGAGGTGCTTGTCTTGTTCTGACCACACTTGATAAAATCAAGTTTGAATATGCTATTCGTTTCAATTTCAGGACTACAAATAACGAAGTCGAATATGAAGATCTCATAACCGACCTTTGGCTAGCAAGAGATACGGGAGCTAGACATGTCACATCCCGGATCGGCTCCACCGTAGCACGATATTGTTCGCTTTGGGCCTTGCCCTCACGGTTTTGTTTCTGGAAACTCACGAGTAATTTCCCAGTGGGTCACCCATCTTGGGATTGTTGTACCCCAAACTCGCTTAACTTCAGAGTTCCTATAGAATCTGAAGCCAGTAAGCTCCCAAAAGGCCTCGCGCTAGATGGAGGTGGGCTTGTACATATAAAGCACATTAACATCCCACATTGACCAACGGAGAGGGGGTGATCTGCCTTATAGGTACATATCCACCTCCATTTAGAATGAGGCCTTTGGGGAGCTCACTAGTTTCGGATTCCATGATAACTCCGAAGTTAATCGAGTTTGGTAGAGCAATCCTAGGATGAGTGACCCACTCGGAAGTTATTTCTGAGTTCCCAAAAATAAAATCGTAAGGGCGGGGGCCCAAAGCGGACAATATCGTGTTACAACGGAGCCGGTCCGAGATGTGACAGAATGGTATCAGAGCCACTCTGTCGTGTGGTGCGAGTGTGCCGACGAGGACGTCGGGCCCCTAGAGGGGATGGATTGTAACATCCCACATCGACCAACGGAGAGGGGGTGATGTGCCTTATACGTACATGCCCACCTCTATCTAGCACGAGGCCTTTGGGGAGCTCCATGGCTTCGAATTCTATGGGAACTCCGAAGTTAAGCGAGTTTGGAGTACACACTGGGAAGTTGCTTGGATAGCCCACATCTTCTCTTACATGACGAACGACATCCTGCCAAATGCTAAAGCCTTGGACCGCAAGATATGGTACTGGTCAGTAAGGTATACGATAATCAACGACATCCTTTACAAACATGGCTACACCACACCTTACCTCAAGTGTATCACTGCCGAACAGAAGGACTACATCCTTCGAGAAATCCATAGTGGCATATACGGAGATCATTTCGGTTTTCATTCGTTGGCTCACAAGGCGCTTCATATTGGGTCAAGATATGTATCTGTAAAAAAACATCAAAATCGGAGTTAAAATTACCGTTAAATCGTGACTTTTCATTTCTAACCGTCGAAAAGTTTTGTCTTGTTACTTGATCTCTGAATATTTGTTTTTTCTGATTTTCAGCGTATACGATCTCGCAGTATAAAAAATCAAGTTTACCGGTTGGATCATTGAAACTAGTTTAGGGTTTAGGTTTTAGGTTTTAGGTTTTAGGGTTTAGGGTTTAGGGTTTAGGGTTTAGGGATTGCGTGACGAAAGGAGTGTCTCGGTCGCGCAAAGCGTACAGAAAACAAGATTGCTCGATGAAGAGAGACCTTTTTCATCCCGTAATGTGCACGAAGCATAGGATTGCGCGACGAAGAGAGACCTTCTTCATCGCGCGAGGTCATCCAGACCTTTCACTTTCCCCCCTGAACACTTGGTCGAAATTTTTGGC